AATTTAAAATTATTGATTTTTAGATTATTTCCTTACGTAATATTTGATTACCGATCTGTTTTCATGATGAATTCAGAAAACGGGGTACTCTTTTGTTAATACAAAAATTTGCCATGATCTTTGTATGATATGTGTTAAGGTGCTATGGTCCATAGACATTTATATATATTTATATATATATATATATATATATATATATATATATATATATATATATCTTAAGAAGCCAAATACATGCATTATTACCCCCGATAACTACTTAGTCTTAAGTTTTCTTGTCTCCATACGAAAAACAACAATATTACGTTGTTGTTTATACTTTTATTCTTTGCGTATTCCTTTCAAATCATCTTTTTCATCATAAAGTAAGACTTGACTACATAAAATAAATTACTCTAAAAGTTTTTATTAAGGTAAAGTGGACGCCAAAAGCAGATTTTTCACGCTTTAAAAGTGCAATTTTTTGTCATTGAAAACTACGAGTTCACATTTTTTTAAATTCAATATGAAAGTTAAAGACTTTTCTTAGTGAATTATGGTGAAAACACGATTGACACATTATGACTTGATAGAAAAAGATCGCATAGTTTCCTCAAAATCTAAAATTTTAGGTACGTCCACTAAGTGAAAAAGCAGTTTAATTCGAATGTCATGAAATCAATTTCTATTAAATTCGGGCTATGTGTTCACCAGTATATATGTGAGTGAATTATGGGTTTATTTTTTAATAAAAGAGTATATATCATTTTAAAAAGAAATATGAAATAAATATTGTGCGATTAAATAGCGCGCGGGCCGACCAAACAGTCCCGTCATTGGCTCATTGGTCCGCAACGCGGCATAGAGAGCACCCGCGTACAACTTTATCACGTCCGCTGTCGTCGTATAAATGTTACCATATATTTAAAAAATATTAATAACCGTGGTATGCCATTGAGAGGTAGTGAAAAATTAGGCATCCAAACCGGTTTAAATGCCTTCCTTAGTCCTAGTATCCACTCAAACTGTGAGCTAGTAGCAAGTAATAAACATCTAAATATAGGTACTAAGTATGTTTATAAAACAAACCGATAAGTAAAAATTTGTTATCTGTATGAGTAAAGTGACTATTTATTTTTTCCTCAGAGCGGGACACCTTTGAAATAATTATAGTTTTAACACTTTTGACTGTCTTCTTGGTCTAACGGTTGTAAACGCAATTGCTGATCATGTGGTCTCGAGTTCGAAACCCGAGTCCGGTCAAGAATCATTTATTGGGTTTTTCTGTCACAAAATTCTCAGTAGCAGCCCGGAATATTGACTTCGAACTTATTGAAGTTGGCGGGGTTTCAACACCGTGCCTCCGGAAGCACGTAATGCCGTTGGTCCTGCGCCTGATCTCTCTCCCGTTGTCTTGGACTACCGTTTTATCGGACTATAAGAGTGAGGGAGTAGGGTAGACATGTGCTTTCGCATACACTTGGGCAATATTATCCTGTTCTGCGCAGATGGCTATTCTCCATGGAGTCTCGTCCGGACCGCGCTAGTGAGCAGTCTCGTCCGCCGGTCGTCGACTCCCGCCCGGATGGGAGAAGTACAGCGCGTCGCTTCGCAGTGGGTGCACGTGCTGTGGGAGCAACTCGGCTTGAGTGGAGCCTTGAGGACGCCCCTGACCCCACCCGGGATGAAGATCACCTAACGCTGCGTTTCACCTACACGCTGGGAAGCGAACTCCAAAGGCTCGGCGCGCTCCTGGTGAGCGCTGGAGATTGCTGACCCTTCCAAATCCCTTCCCAGAGGCGCGAGACGCGCCAACTTCTGCCTAGGGATATCAGGCCTTCATCTAGAGCCGGGAAGGAGCACTGGAGGCCCGGAGCAGCTGCTGTCCGGAGCGCAATCCTGTCGGCAAGATTGGCCCTGCGTCGACTCCTTACCTCGGGACTCCGCGGGGCTTTGAGACGACCAACCCTCCGGTAGCACCGACCTGGTGGCGCGCAATACGCCAACGAAGATTACTTACAATGTCGTACCTGTACGGCTCCCAAGACCGGCCCATAGATATGGGTTGTGAGGATTACCCGGATAATGGGGTACTCCCCGAGGCCCGAAACCTGCATGGGATAAACATATAAAATCTGGCTACTGACTTTTTAATTTTTTTCTGAACAGCTAATAAATACTAATTAGAAACAACTTACGTTATCTGATAATTTATTGTAGATTAATTAAAAATTGTCACTTCGTAACTTTAAGTTCAGAAGTGTAGGTTTTCAGAAAAATCACGTAACTAGTCAGGCCATGCTGGCAAAACCCGGTACGCGCGGTGTCACGGGTGACACTTTGCATGATGCGTCACTTTTATTTGTCAAGCGAGACATTTTTTACGTATTTTGGAGATAGCGGGACACAAACCTTTAAATCGGGACTCTCCTGCCTAAAGTGGGACGTATGGTCACGTAACATATGAAGAAACTCGTATGTTACAGATATACTTTGACAAAGTGGCAGGCAAATCGGGCGCACGGAACAAGTATTTGTATGACCCACAAATAATTGTATCTAGTCTGGATGTTAGTCCTCGTGCAATTTATGTTTGTAAACTGCCTCCACGATACAGGAGAAAATCCTATTGTGGGTGTAACGTTATAAAATACTGGTAAAAAACACTTGAGTGAGAGCCTAGGCTGCCTAGTTCATTTTTATGTTGAAAAGTACTTCATGATTATTTTATTTGGAAATGAAATATCGATATTTTATTTTCTTAAATATTGATGTATATATCGTTGATATTTATAAATCGCGATATATCGTCATTCAAAATTTATCGTGGAGTATCAAATTCATATTGATTTCGATATATTTTAAAATGTTGTATTAATCGACATAACAATAAGCAAACATTCATGTGCATGTGCAAGCATCATTCATTCATGTAATACCATTTTGAGCCTTATCGTATTCGTACTACATTATAAATACATTACGATATATCGATATTTATCACATGAATATATCGATACTGTTTAAAAATATCGATACGATATATATCGATATAGTTTTTAACTTACCCATCCCTACTCGTCGCTATTGTGACATGAGTAGATAATAAACGGAATATTGCTAGCAGCTAGCCGGTCACACGACGGGTCCCGCGCCAATCGCCCGCCACGACTGCTTCACCCCCTTAAAACCTATGTGAACACAATCTCATTTCGTCTTACCGTCAAACGTCTTTTAGCAATTAAAGGAAAGCTTATGTGTTATGTTAGCTTATTTTTGTCAGCTGAAAACCTTGCATTAATTCGCCAATTTTTTTATTAATTAACATTCTACGAAATCCTCATTTGTTTTGCAAATTAATTCCCGAACGCACTTACTGTTTGTGAAATAATTGTGAACACAATCGAATGAATGCACCTGACGGTTCTCTCATAGGATTTATGCATGATGTTTAAACCGATTGTTTTTGTTTAATATATTGTTACGTTATAATTTGATGATTTCCATCGTGACACTACTAAAAAGAGCAGGAACAGTAGACAATGGTAATTAAAAGAGCGTAGGAATAAGCCACACTCATATATTGCAATATGATGAGATCGAGATACACGAGATACAAGACAGTCTTGTGGTTGAAACAAGTGGTATAATTAAAAATTTTGTACAACCGACTTCAATGTACATAATGGAAATGAGAATATCATCTAAATTTAATTGTATTAAAATAACATGGGACGACATGAAAAGCTCCAGACTTCAGATAAAAAAAAGAATCACAAAAATCGGTTCACCCAGAAAAAAGCTATGAGGTAACCACAAACAAAAACATAGTCCTTTTTGAAGTCGGTTAAAAATGGGCAATTTTAATCCGAGATGCAGTGCTGCAAAAAGAACAATGGGATTTTTGGGCCTGGAGAAAACTAATTGGTTTGTACTTTAAAAATTGTCTATACTTTTATAAAGTAAGATAAAAACTAGCTCTTTTTACAGTATACAATTCTAAAAAGCGATAAAATAAGAAATAACTTGGAAAATCGATTGTTCTAATACAATTGATTTTATTTATTTTATTTTTTTCTATTTATTTCACAATTTATGTAAACACAGTTAGGGAGAGGACACATCATGATAAAAAGTTTGTACAAAGGCTCTACTTATCTCACAATGAAATTTCTTCCAGTAGGCCAGTTTCAAACACATATGATTACTAAATGATTATAAGGTGTGCACTTTGTTATTATACAACACATATGGGTATAAATTAAATATATACGTCAGCTCAAATACTTATACTTTATTATATATATATATATATTTATATATATATATATATATATATATATATATATATATATATATATATATATATATATATATATATAATATTTAATCAAACATTAATACATACATAAATACTTAATATAATATAAAGTCATAATTAAATATATAAACATATATACACACACACATACATACATATATCTGTACCTGAGAAGCATATTACTGTAAGCGCCAAATCGCAAAGTTTACGTAATAGAAGATATCCTTTCAAAAAGTAACTATCTTTAGGTTTAGGAGGTTATAAAATTTAAAACAAGTGAAGTTAATATAACTGTTTTAATTTTTTTAAAGGGCTACATTATAAGCTTTTAAATTGACTAACAATGATGAGATCAATCTTTGTGTAATTCAGTTATTTTTAAAAAACAAAAAAAATCGGTATTACATACAGTGTTATGCCTGTAATTAAAATTTGAACATAATCTAACATACTTAACTTTTTCATGTAATCTAATTAATTTTTATGACATAAACTAACATTTAGGTAAGGAGATCAATGTTTGCGTATATTAGTAATTTTAAAATAATAAAATTCGGCAACACTTACGGTGATAGGCCTATATTATAATCAAAATTTGAACATTATCTTAACATACAACTTTTAAATACCTTTAACTTTATCTAATCTAAATACCTTTAATGACAAAAATGACATTATTAGCTAAACAAATATAAAAATTTTAATAACACAGGTCAGGATTTTCAGATTCTTCGATAATATCAGGTTGATTACCATGTGGTAGGTCAATGTAAAACTTTTTTAGTTCTGGATCGGCAATCCATTGAGTTAACGTCACCAAATCTTTGTATTTCGCAATACTGATAGGACGAATGTTTTCATGAGCCTGTGGCAGGGAGTTTGACAATATAAGGTTTTGTCTAGTATTCTTTTTAAGATTGATCTCAGAGAACTCTTCGTCATGGAAACTGGTTTTATAATATAAAATACCATCTTTCTGCTTCCTTACCTGTAGCCACACACATTGTGAAATCAAAAACTGACCATTAGATGAATTTTTACGCCTTTGACTGAAATTCACGGACAGTGATTTAATATCTTTAACATTCATAAGATTCATGTTGTGTACTATTAATGGGTTCTGAGTTTTACAGATTTTAACAAACTGCTTCCAATCACGTGGTACTACTACATCAAAACTAGATAGTTCTTTTTCTTTCTCTCAATAATTGAATGAACAACATCAGCCTCTGAATGTGTGTGACCACGAAGTAAAAATTTGTGGTTGATTGTGACAAGTTCCGTGTTTTGTAATAACCAAAAGTAACAGTACAACAAAATAACGTTACGGTTTTGCCCCGAACAGTTATCAGACCATATTGTTATTTCTTCTGTGTTTTCACGCTTGTAATTAAGAACCCATTCTATAATGCACGATCCGACTTCATTGGCACCTCTTCCTCCTTGTGTTTCATCCCACATCATGCAGTAAGATTTGTTATCAGTGTCATTATGGATTGTTTCATTGAATGTCCACAGTTTTCTTAAATAGAAAGACTGACTATTTGTTAACAAGGGCGTTGCTAAACATTTTTGCATGTCCACCATAAGAGTTACTTTTTTTCCTTCCGATTCTTTAGCGATTTCTTTGTCTTCTCTTTTTAAAGCATACCTCTTATCAGCATCTTCAATATGTTCTTTTCTTTGCTTCTCTATTTTTTCTCTTTCTTCGGGATTAGTTTCGTGCTTCAATAATGATATGAACTTATCACAAGTGTCGCAAGTATCATTGCTAGGTAAGTAAAAGGACAAATTGAAATGCTCGTTGAAAATTTTTCTGTATAACCACTGCTTCGATATCATATTTTCTGGTACACCATCTTCTTTACATTTTTTTACGTATAGTTCGTACATTTTCGTTATATTTAAATCTGGTCCAAGATATTCGCGAGTTGTTTTTTCTCTCGAGTAATGACATATGTAACGTGGAAACATACAAATATGGTTTTTAATCCCTGCAATTACAGAATCGGGTGTTTTGTTTCCTGGAATATGCTTTCCTCGTTGATCAGGCTGCACTAAACTTGTAGCTTCCGAAATCTTTGATAGCGTGGTTGATATGAATTGTTCTGTAAGGCAAAACGTGTTTAGAAACCTTTTTTGGCAAACCCGGGTACGTACATTATTAATAAACATATTATAAATTCTTGTTTTCTTGCGTCGGCTAACATCATTATTCTGGCGGCTACGAGGTCGCATCACGGATATTAAGTCAATAGATGAAGCTGCAAACTGTCTTCTTTGTTCCCAATTTGTGGTGGTTTTCCAAAATGACTCAAAGTGTTTTATCCTATTATCATATGAAATTTTTTCAAAGCATTTTAGTTTACAAGTATTCGGGCAAGCTTCCTTCATTTTCCTCTTCTCGATTATTTTTTTTGTTTTTGAAACTGCGCTAACATACCTTTCTCCCGCTAATCTTTTTGTTTTCGCTATTTCACGTTTCCAGTTTTTTTGATCACGTAAACGTTTTCTTGATTTTCTCTTGTTGTTTACGTTTTCATCGACATTAGATTCAGACGAATCTGATGTTGAACTTATAACAGTCAATCGAGGATTTTTTCGGACGCGCGGGGAGGGTGACCAGTTGCTACTTGAGTCTGCATCTGTCTCGTACGGGTCATTTTCTTGTGAATTCAAAAGAGAATGGCTACTTTCTCGGGAGTGCAAAACAGAAGGACTATCTTCTCGGCTTAACATGCTTACTGGCGACTCTCGTGATAGTTCTCTCAAGCAATATTGGAAGTTTTCTTCATTTGCATGGTTTTCAAAAAATTGCAGCTGTTCTTTTGTTAAAGGTGACGAACAGCGCTCTTCTCTAATTACTGTTTCTAAAAAAATATAAAGATTTGACTTCGTTAAGTATTATAATATAAGTATTACTAGATAGTTACTAAGTTTGAAAATTCGTCACTACTAAATAATAAAGGTTTATCTGTTCACTTTCCTCACAAAATCTACTGAAAATAGTCATAACTTCCAACTTCTTCGAATTTACCAATTGAAAGCAGTTAGGAGTTATGACTTTTTTTATTTTAACATGAATCAACAGGTTAGAAGATTACTGATAAATTTTTAAATAAATTCTATAAGAAGAACTTCATCCGCGTGCGGGACTCGAACCCGCGACCTGCAGCGTAAACAAATAATAAACATATTAGAAATACAAATGTATAATTTTATATATATTATAATAATTGAAACTTAAAAAAAATAAAAACTTACCAATTGAAACCAGTCTTAAAGTTTGTGAATTTAACTGCTCGTCTGTGGTTAGCGACTCTAAAAATACATAGGTATATTATTTGTAAGAAATGTATTATATATTAATATGAATAAATAAAACATTACTTCTGAACTATCTAAACTTACCATCTGGAATCGGCTGCAGAAGCTGTAATATTTTTCTCGTTCGATTACTGCACATTTTCGATGTTTTATTGTAAGCGCTACATAAAAATTGGCATACGTGTGCATTAGACGAACGCGAGAAGCGAAATAAAACACTGTATCTCACGCGATCTATTTATAGGCAAACCGCGCCTAGCTTCGCGGCATCGATGCAGTTAGCGGCAGAATAATGTAACTCCGCACTTACAGTAAAATACACGTGATTGTGAAGACTATTTTTAGTTTATGGTCCTTTACCCTGTTATGCTTTAAAGATAGTTTGAGATATACAGTATAATAAAATTTAAAATATTAAAAAGTACTTGGCTTTGCCCAGTTACTGTTTTATGCCTGTAAAGAGCGGAGCAAATAACATAGGATTGTGTAGAAACCTCAATTTCGTCGAAAATGGAGTTACAGTGTTATGCTTCTCAGGTACAGATATGTACATGCATATATTTGTAACAGTATAGTAAATATCAGAGATTTGAGACATACACAGAAGAAAGCGATAAATAATGTTCTTTCACTCGTTTTTTGAACAATGTCACTGTTTTGATTTCTCGAATGTGAGTAGGAAGCGAATTCCAGAGTCTTACTGCTTGTACGGAGAATGAACGGCAATATGAATGAGTATTAAAGGATGGGAATTTTAAGAGAGTTTTAAGGTGAGATCTACAAACTGTATCTGGGGATTTAAGAAAGGTAAATCGATTTCGTATGCACGTAGGGAAATTTGGGCTATGTAGGATGTTAAAAAGGAGACAAAGGATATGAGTGTTCCTGCGAAATCGGATCGGGAGCCACTTGAGTTGCTTTCGAAATTTAGAGACGCGGTCAAACTTTTTGAGTCCGAAAATATACCGAATGCAAAGGTTTTGTAACCGCTCAAGTTTGTTTAATTGCTCCTCTGTGGCATCCAAAAAACAGACATCAGCGTAATCTAAGATAGGCAAAATAAGGGTTTGAACAAGAGACATTTTCGTTGATAAGGGTAAAAAACTTTGAAGACGTTTTAATGAGTGGAAAGCATAATAAACTTTTCTACCTAAGTCCGTTATGTGAGGACCCCATGACAATATTTTTATTTTATATTTATTCGGGTCCAAAAAATAAAATGGAAAACCTTCCAAGCTTTCATGAAAATTCTATTATTTATTATGAATGATATCCTTCGTGATTTTTTATTCTGGAAAAAAGGGTGTAACAGGTGAACAGGCGGTTTATTGAAATCAAGGTCAAAGCAGCTGCAAGGAAGCTAGGACCTAGCTGGGACAACTCCTTACTTTAATAAAGCGCAAGTTCGGTCGTGCATGGAGTATTGCTGCTAATTATGGGCTGGTGCTGCTAAATGCCACCTAGAGCTTTGGACTCAATGGAAAGGAATGCTAACGGGCTTATTGGTGACCAGAATTTAGTTAAAACCTATTTTACCGGCCCCGAACACAGGCGCGATGATTAGTCACTCTTCTATTTAAAAAAAAACCTGACAAGACCGAGCGCTTAGTATTCACGCCCTAGGGGTTTCGTATAAACTTATATTTATATATATGCAGATAATTCATCATCCCATGAGTAAGGTAAGCACCAAATATTGTTTCAACGAAACGATAAGTCGAACATTAAAGAACAAACTTAATTTTGCAATGAAAAAAATGTTCTCCCATACATCCCTCTACATATCCATTAATATTCCCACGGCAAATATATAATCTTTGATGAAATGAAAGATTTTCAGTTTTTTCCCTTACTTGTAATTTGGGACCTTGCTACTTGCCAAATTTCATGATTCATGGTTAATTGAAATGCCCTATAGATTTGAATGAGTAATTGTGCGGGTATTGAAATACGTCATAAATGTCCATATTTTTTGCAAGCATTAATTTAGAAGCTGTAGTTTTTAAATTCCAAGGATCTATAGATCTTAGTATTTGATATTAGGTTCAACTTCAGAGCCTTGATAAACGGACAGACAGACTGAGAAGACAGGGTTTCATTGTTTTTCTTTTGACAAAATTGAATATCCATAACCTGATCCCATACTTGCTGAGATAGTTACCCGTATGTACACAAATATGTCTTCTGAATTTATATTTTAACGTGTTCATCAATATCGAGAACCAAATGTGGCAAATGTGCGATGTCAACATTATATGCACGAATAATCGGATCATGGATGCATCGCATTTACTACGATCTCAGCCAGTTAGTGTCATTAATAGGTGTAATGAGCATGCTATGATTTTCGCTTACATCGAGAGTTTCCTTCTAATTTATCCGTTTATTTGACACTGACTTTTGCGTGAATAAGCGCGTGAATATATGACCTACGTCGAGAAAATATTAAAAGGTACATTAAGTCAGTCATTCCAATACCTGTTTAATTTACAATCCTTTTTACTTTTAATTACGTTAAAAGACTACAGTAGTCTTATACCTTAAATTGAAGAATATTCACGTCATACTTTTTTCTCAATTTAACACAAATTTTGAAGCTTATTATGAAGAGCTATATTATTTTTAATGCCGGTAGTTGCTGACCTGGTAAAAGATGTACTATGTTGATGAAGTAAACGAATCAGGAAATGGGCAGCAGCATCTTCCTAATAACGACTAAAAATTAAAAATTGCGGTTGCCAACCCATTTGCTAAGCGTGGCAACTAAGGCAAATATCTCCCCTATGATACAATATATGGGAGAGGCCTGTGTACAGCAGTGGACTTTAATAGATAGTAACATTATTAGGTACCTACTGTATACATTTATGTATATCAAGATTTCAGAAATTGAAGCCTACATATTAGTAACCATTTAAGTGCACACGTGTTGACTTACAATTTACAGAATGAAAGATGCGAATGACATAAAGTGAACAATGCCCTCTAATTATTACCACAACGAACTGTCACATCGATTCAGTGCTACCTAGAAATGACAGACGGTGGGGTAACCTTCCCAAAGTCTGTCGGATCCATTAATATGTGTATGGAAGGGGCGATAGCGTATACAATTATTATAATTCATATATTTATTTAAATTTTTAAGAACGGGTTGCTTAATAAAAATATTTTTATGGAATAAGTGTGTAAATGTATCCTTGATTAAGAAGCGTTGTCACCCCTAAAGACTAAGATATAATGCCTCGTTTCCAGTAAAATGATTAAACGAGAATTCTTGTGTTCTTGAAAGATGTCTTAAAAATTAATATGCCAATTAAAAAAGTTGTCATTGCATAACAGGTTAGGTATTTACTAGAGATGAAACGGATATTCGGTAATTATCCGGTATTCGGCCTATCCGGCCTAAATATACTATTCGGCCGGATACCGGATAACAAACTGCTATCCGACCGGATACCAGATTAAAAAAAACACAAAATATTTTAGTTAAGTACTTTGTATATGTCACTTAACAAATATAATCAGTAATCACAAAATGTTTATTTTAAAACTTACAAAATTAGTACTTGAACTGCGCTAAGGCACAGAATAAATAGTAATTCTACGTAGCTAAAGCCAAATTATGGTGAATAAATGCTAATTTCTCTGCATTGAAAGGTAACAAGCGGTTTCGCCTGTCTTCATAAACAAGGCCAGCTTCATAAAAAAGTCTGTCGCTGTACATACTGCAGCAGGGTGCTGAAAAATAGATAAACTTATAAATAAGGGTATTGTGTAGCAATATCTGCCCACGAAATATAAGGGACACGATCGCGAGCAGTTCGCGTTGACTTTACCTTTCGCTTCTTGAGATGCACCAAACGGCAATGTTAGGCAGAATATCCGGCGGCCGGATATCCGTATATCCGGCGATAAGACTGGCTGAATATTCGACATCCGGCCAAACAGCTATCCGTTTCATCTCTAGTATATAGCTAACCTGTTATGCAATGACATTTTTTTTAATTTTGACAAAGTAAACATGATTGTTTTATCGTTTCACTATGCAGTGGCGTTACTGAAGCGAAATAATGACGTCATTTGCGTTTGAATTTAGATTTTAGAAAAACCATTTTTAATTGAAAAAAATTACATTAAAAATCAATTGTTATTTTTTTCTAATTTTTCGTAATATTTTTTTTGTAAACTTTAAACAAAAATTAAAAAACATACAACTTCTCTATTAACTAATGTTACGTGAAAATTTCAAGATAGCATTTAAATAATTACAATGACATTCCAAACGCAATTTAATCTTTTAACTTGGACCATTATCAAAGGAATTAGTCCCGACGATCTACGTAACTTGAGCGGGCATACATATGGTCTTTATTTCATTTCACACAGCCAACAGGGGTTGACATTAAATTTATGTCATATTCGTCTCGAAATGCCCCCGCGATACATCCAAGTTCAATGTTGACATTTGTATTAGATTATACAGGCTGCTATTTAATTCCGACTGCGCTGGTTGATGTTTGCCTTTCCGTCAAAACCCATTAAATTGTTTCAGCGTGTTGGTTTTCCACAGTTATTTGAAATGGAATTTGCTAAAGCCATGCGTGAGTTTGAGTATGGTAGACAAAAACAATAAAAATGAAACATTACATTTTATGTCAAAATATTTAATATTTAATTTAATTTTCCATAAATCCAAAAATTATGGTAAAAAGTAATAATAAAAAGTAAAACCAAATAATAAAAGCAATTACAGGTTTGAAAGTCTAATAATTACATCTAAATCAATTTTCTTTTAAAATCAAATAAAATAAAATCTTTTCATTATGAGGTTAAATAAAAGATCGATAAATATCAACCTGTATAAATTTATATCGCGAAGAGTAACAAAACTCCGGTCAGCCGTACCCGGTGCGTAGGTTAATCATTTCATTCAACGGTATACAGTTACCCGGAATTATTATTGACACACCAACTGTCGGGGGCACGTAGCCAAATTGAATGTGTGATTAGAAAATCAATACACGATGTAATATTACGTTGAAGCAATCACAGTGATATAGAGATAGCAATCATATAAAGTATTTGCATGATTGAAGTTGAGTAGTCAGTGATGGTAGTAAGAAGTTTACGTAGTAG